GCTTCAGTCTATCTTTTATAATCTAAACAGTTTAATTTATGGCACGTGAAATTTAGATACGTGAAATTTGATTTATCAACTCGCTGAAAGATAAAAGTGTCAATCTTATCTATGCAAATTGGGGATCGTAAAAGATTGGGGATGCACAGTGAAATATTCGGGATACTTTGAGCAAACATATTAAAGATCTTCTATATTTCATTTTAGCCAAACATTTGAGCATTGAACAAGTATTATGCAGTCTTTCATGCCCGACTGCAAACTCATTTACTGGGCTTTCGTGGCAGTTGCTTTTAAGAAGGGCAACATCGATGACGAAAGCAAACAGAACTCAAGTCGAAGTTGGGGCAACATGAAATTAATTGAATGCAACAACAACAATAACAATAACAACAAATACAACGACAACAACGTGTAATAAAAACGTTGCCCATTTATTTCAATTAAACACAATCAAGAACACATATTTTCCCCCAGAGACGGTATACCCAAAAGAAAAGAGCAGAAACAAAAACAATAAACTTCCAAGTAGCAAAAAATATAAACGAGCTGCTTCAGCAAAAAAAACTGACCAGTGGCACTTGCAATGTCAGGGAATGCACTGAGACTAGAGCATGAATAAGCACGATGATACAAAACATTGAAACAAGTGAAACATCGAAATAACAAGCATGACTAATGGCCAATTCCTAAAACAGAGGAAGTTATCAAAACGATTCGTCAGGATTTAAAACAAAACACAGAACCATAAAACTTTGAATAGAACCCTATTTATAAATAATATAACTAATCAAAGAAAAGAACAAACTAACTCTTAACGAGAAAACTTTAGAGCAGAACCCTCTGAATTCCAGAAGTGCTTATCTTATATATATCCAAATTTTCCAATGCAAACTTAGACGAAGCACTTATTCAAAGCCCTCACATAAAAGAGCTTAACGACCATCTAAAGAAGATTATATGGACATATACATAGTACATTTATATAAGCATATAGATTATGAATGTATATATGTATGTCTCATAGACTCGTAAAGTTTTTATAGTCCAGCAGAGATTTCTTTATCTTGTAGTACAGTGCAAAAAAATGTCATAAACATCCAGTTTATGTTGAATGACGATCATAACAGATCATAAAAATATATTTATAGTTTTTATTTTTTAAATATATATTATAGACATTATTTTATGGAATCATACATTAATATTAACAATTTATGAATTGAACAGATTTAAAGTTGAGATAGAGCTTAGTTTTAGATCATACCCATGTATATAGGAACTTAACATAGGTCAGAGTTATAATCAAACGAAATTCTGCTTAGAAAAACATCCAGCAAAAGCAAAGCATCATCTATAGTGAAACTCTTATAGAAACTGTAGATTAAGGTAGATAGCAAGAATTACATAGAGATAAGAGATTAGAGTAAACATTTCTAGAAAACTACATAGAACCATTTGGAAATTTAAAAATAATTCTAAATCATCATCATCGTGACATAGTTCAAGCACCATCAAGTACCACAGTTACTCATAGGCAATTCATAAGATTAGGCGCTATTGGACGTGAAATGGGATTTATAGCAGGTGATATAGACAAGGAATTGCTTTCATTATTGAACGGTTCATTTGAAACGGCTTTTTTACGGTTTTGAAATAATCGCGAGCCTGATAATACCTCAATGGAGCCGTACAATTGGGGTTAGTATATTAAATCGATTAGATTGGAAATATCGATGTAGGTGGGAGGGGCTGACTAGAATATACCCGAGGCGAACTGCTGAAACACAAAGTAATCTCTTCATTTATTATATATAAGGGTAGAATCTTGAGATGAATCTAAAATAATCTATATTCTAAAGAGATATGCTAAAATAATTAAAATTAAATGGATTTAATATCGCTAAGTAAAGCAGAAGCCAAGATAAAATCTGCTGTTGATCCTGACCTAGAATATATAGTACATATAGTTGGGTTCAGCAACGCCTAAGAGAACCTATCACATATATTTCTCCACAAACTACTTACGCTATATTGCTTCATTGTTCAATTTATACTAATCTAATCAGGCTGTTCTTATCCTTCATCTTACATATAGTAAGTAAAAATGAGTTTTTTATTAAAAATATAATTGAAAACATTTTTTCAATTTCCACTACGCACGATAAGTACTCAACTCTACTTTTCATGGCGACACAGTTCGGCTCTCTTCTTCTTTCACTTCCACTTCATTCAATTGAATTCAATTTAACTGCTGTTATATGTGCGTACGCGACGAACATAAGGCTGAACAGACTAAAGAAAAACTTGGAAATATTCGATTCCCCAAGGGGAAAACGAAAATATGTTTAATCTCTGGCTAAGCGATAACCCCTAACATTAACCCTGAATAGAGCGCACTTACCTCTTAGGTAATCCCATAGATTTATGTTGAATATTTCCATTTAACGTGCGTTATCCTGAGCAGCCATGATTTATATATTCTTTTAGCTCGATCATTTCCTTTATTTATTGTGATCGTATATCGTAGATGTGAATGGCTGGCGCGAGACACTACACAAAATTTATTTTCGTTTCACCGAAATTTCCGTAGTATTTCAATTAACACGGAATTCTGTTCTCTATTTAATTTTATTTAAGTTTAACGGAACGCGACGAGCACCGGAACCGAACCGTTCTATACGACAGACGACTTGGAATTGAAGCGAACGCAGAGTCGATCGTACATCTCTCGCTCGGTTGCTCGCTTGCTGCCCTTTCGGCTTTCGGAATAGCCGAAAAAAGTCACTGATAAACGAGAATGCAGGCCGAGGCAGCGCTGTCATTCTTCTTCACTTATAGATTTAGTTTTTTTCTAGATTGCATTCGGCATAGCCAACACAGCTAATAATGCTGACCATTTAGCTTCTTTTTTTTATACACCTTGCTTTGATTCAGCATTCACTTGTTGCCTGGCATGTCATTCAGCATTTCTAGCCAATAAATGCAGCTTATTTCCGTTGCTTGTTGATCTAGCTTTTTTCTTGTGCTGCGATGCTCAGCACTGAATGCAATTCGCTAGGGCCGTTAAGTGGTGGGCAGCGCCAAATGAAATCGGAAAAAAAGAGAGCCGCTGTTCGCTCTTCGCGCTCAATTGCGCGCTCTCTCTCTCTCTCTATCTGTGGCTCCTCTTTCTTTCGCTCTCTCCCACTCTCGTGCACTCGTGCCAGTCGGTGATAATGGAAACTGATATGCACAAAACATATGTAGATGCTCACTTAAATACGTTTTCAGCCCACTGTGATTGGCTCTCCAATTTCAGCAGCTTTATTTTGTTTTGCAGTATGCCTCCTCCGTGTGTGTACAGCTCAATTTCAGCTTCAATTAGCGCTTGATAGCTAACAAATCGATCGGATGAATCGATGACGATGTCAACCAACAGCATTTTTGTTCAACTTAATCAAAATCTCACGTTCCGTCGCTTCCGACTCTGAGAAGATTACTTACAAAACTCTGTCTACGATAAGGACTGGAACGAGTCAGCTTATGCAACCTTTCTGTTTCTTATCAACAATGCGCTAGTTCATTAAGACCTTAAATGACGAAAAAAAGTTAACACTAAGTAAATGAACTATATCAACAGAATTCTTACCCCAACTAACAGTTGTCACACAACATTCATTATTGAAAGACATCGCTCTGAGGAATTAAGCGGAAGAGCTCTAGATAGAAAGTTGATTGAATGGAGGTATTAAGGTGTCCATGAGACATGAACAGCTAAAAAACTTTAGCTTGTTAAAAGCTTGCAATATTTTAATATCATTTTCTACACGTTAAAATTTATATATTTAAAATATATAAATTTATTCTTTATTTATTATACCTACCCATCTTCAATTCAAATCTTGTTCTTTCCTGCGAGCGTTCACTGTATTGAAAGACTTTTTGGTTTTAAGCTGACAGACGAAAGTCTGTCCCTTAATACCCTAACCAAACAGTCATTAATGCACAGCTCGTCGCATACCCTAATTTGATTTATGTCGGGCATTTCCATATCCATCTCCAGCAGCGCTACCTGTGCACAGGTAACAATCGATTATAGCTGTAGGTAAATTGAAAGTGGAAACACATCAAAATATCCGTTTTGCACTCTCGAGTTGCGTTTCTTTAGTTTTTCTTTTATTTATATATTATTATTTTTTTTTTTTTTTGTTTACAACATGAAAAAAGAAATGGTAGAAAAATATGACATTGCTTTGTTTTTTTTTTTTTTTAAGAGTTCATTTCATTTTCTTTTCTTTGCTTTGTTTTAAATATATATCAAAACCCATATTCCATTAGTCTTTGCTTCAAATTTGTTTAATTTTTTTGTGTTTTTGAAAAATATATATTTTCTTTTTTTTTTTTTTTTAATATAATTAGTTGAATGTAAAGTATTTTATAAAAATGTTTTTGTTTCTCTCTCTCTTTGGAGTTGAAAATGAATTGAGCAAACGAAAGTCACAAATTAAGTATTAAAAGAAGAAGAGTGTGAGTTAATCGTAAAACAAAAATGTTATAATAAATAAAACCCGCCCATAAATGTTTTAACACACAGCCAACCGCCCCCCCAAAGAGGGTCTGTCTCTTTCTTTTGATTATATAAAATTGCTTTAAGTGTGTATGTATGTGTGTGTGTGTCTGGGCTGCTGCTGTGTGTGTGTGTGTTTTATAGTTGAGCAATTACGCGTTCCTTGCCTTCTCAACACCTGTTCGTTATTTAGATTTGCATCTATATATTTTCACAAATTTTTTTTTTGTTTATTGCATTTGTTTTTCGTTTTGTTTTTATTTTTTTTTTTTTATGCAATTCTTTTTCTTCAAGTTTTTCGTTTTTTTTTTTGTTCGTTTTTTTTTTAAATATTTTTTAAATATATTCGTTATTTTTTTTTTTTTTTCTTTTCTTTTTTTGATTATTGATAAGAAAATTGTATAGTGAGCTTTCATTTTGGTTTTCCATGAAAAATCAATGAAGCTGCCGGCTATATGCGTATAGCACTCAAAAAACAAAAAATTCATGAGCTTGAATAAGTTAAACTTGTTCCAACTAAATTATGGTAATACAACGGATGTTTTTTCATTTTAGCCAAAAACTAATCACAATCTTTTGCATTCATATTGCAAATATGCTTGAGTCTGTGTGTGTGTGTAAAGAGTGTAGTTGTGTATGTGTGAGAGTGCTCTTAGCAACTCCACTATATATCGTATGCCTCTCAATGGACTTCACTGACGGCTTCGTCCTCTGCAGGATTTCGTTCATGTTGTTGTTGTTGTAGTTGTTGTTGTTATGGCTTCTGTTGCAGACGCAGCTGCTCGCTTATGTTTGTGTTCTGGTAGAAGAGACGGACGACGAGCGTCTCACGCTCATCCTTCTTGGCCAGTATCTCTAGCTGGAATATTTCGGAGAAACGCGTATCGATGAATGCCCCCAAGGCGGCCACATCACACTTGGCCATGGTGGCACTCTCCAGCTCGCAGTGCTTGCTGTAGCGCGGCACCTGGGCCAGCTCGGCAGGCAGCTGGCGGAACTGGTCGGAGACGGCATTGTTGCCAAAGTCAATGAAGTGCACCTCGCACTTGCCATCGTCCAGCAGCTTGACTATCTCGGCGCGATAGAAGACCTCGTCCTCGGGGAATTTGGCCACACACAATGCGCCCACCTGCAGGTCCGTAAAGACTTCAAAGTTCTGCTCGGCATCGAGCATTTTATCGGTCATCTGCTCGAGCGCCGGCACATCCTGTTCCATTTGCACATAGAACGATTTGGCATTGTCGTACTGCACCACAATGCAATTGTGCAGCTCCACTTCCAGGGGTTGCTGCACACCAGCCACTGTGCTGGCCAGCTCCTGGGCAAAGTCCTTATAGTTGATGCGCAGCTGCACCGATTGCTGCGTCTTTGCGTCATCCTCCACGGGCTCGTTGACCAGCTCGTAGACCTCGCCGAAATGCTGCTCGAGCAGCGCTGTGAATGCTTCCTCCAGCTTCGCCTCCGGCACATCCTCGGGCAGCTCACTCAACCGGCAGTGAAGCGCCAGCGGCGGAATTTCACTAATCACCTGGGGCAAGGCAAACACCTGCGTGGTAGTCAGACTGCTGCCGTAGTCCATGAGGAACACCTCGTACCCCTTGTCCGCCTCCAGCACCTGCTTGATGCAACAGCGGTAATAACAGTCGTCCTCCTGGGAGAAGCACACGCCATTCATCTGCACAACGGGATTGGCTAAGGGCGTCAGTTGTTCTTTGGATAGGCCCTGCAGTGTCTTCACAATCAGATCCAACACGGCGGAATTCTTCTTGAGCTGCACATAGAAACTCTTGGGGGAGCTGCCATGCGAGATGATGCACTCCTTGTTGTTGGCCTGGGCCTGTGGCTTCTGCAGCTCGGCCTCCAGCAGCTTCTGCAGCTGCTCGTAGATGTTGAGCGCGTGCTTGTCCATGGTCTTCAGGCGCACCACTGGCGGCTGCGCCGTCTTGTTGACAAACTCCACGGCCACCTCGCCGTTGCAGCTGTCGATGAGCGCGTCCAGCGCCTCACGCGATTCCTTGGGATATTTGATAAAGTTTGGGCACGACTCCAGCGAGTGCAGTTCTGCCAGAGGTTTCACCTGGACCAGCTCCGCTGGCAGCTCGAAGAGCTTCTCGACCAACGCCTGGTTGCCATAGTCGATGAAGAGCACACGATACTGCAGCGACTGCTTGGCCGGCAGTTGTTCCAGGATGCGTGCGCGATAGAACTCCTTGTCGTCGGCAAACTGCGCCACGCACAGCTCACCCAGTTGGGCGATCTCTTGCTTGGGCTGCAGATTGGCGCTCTCCCCATTCAGCTGCTCGCAGATGTTGTCCACCAGCGCGTTGTTCGACTCGAACTGCAGATAGAAGCTAGTGGGGCTGCTCACATGCGTCACTAGAGCCATCATGCTTTCTACTCCAGCATCCGACTCGGTATTCGCCTCCACCTGTGGCTCCTCCAGTGGCTTGGGCTGCTTGCGTGTGCAGAGTGGCAGCAATTGGTCCAGTACATTATCCTCATCGAGAAGCAGGTTTACAACAATATGCTCCAGTCCCGGCTGCAGCAGCTGTGTGGTGAAGACCAGCTCACCCTCACCCGTCAGCTCGGCGAATTTGGCTTCCGCTTCCTGAGACCAGCCCACGTAATCCTCTGGCAGCTGCAGAGCGCAGCGTTTCGATAGGCTCGGCACATTCGCTATTTCCTCCGACAGCAACAGGCACTTGGCCGTGGACGAGGTGTTGCCGTAGTCAATGAAACGCACCTCGTAGCGGGCATCGGGCAACTGACGCAGCAGCTCGGCGCGATAGAAGAGTCCATCGTCATCGAAGAGAGCTGCCACGATGCTGCCCTTTTCGAAACGCTGCAACGGCTCCAGCTGCTGCTCTGCATTGCCCAAATAGAGTTCGATTAGCTCCAGGGCCTTGGAGTCGCTCTCCAGCTGAATGTAGAAGTCGGCGATGCTGTTGGCGTGTGAGATGTAGCAGCTGCTGCCGCTGGTGACATAGTCCAGGGGCTTGGCAAAGCCATCGGCGATCAGTTTCTTGGCCACGTCGACGCCATCGATGTACAGGTTGACGTAGCTGCGCGTCTGGTAGTCGCCGCGTGTCAAGTACTCGTAGTGCAGAATCTTCTCGTACGAATCGTTGAATATACCATTAGCAGCATCGGCCCACTCCAGCTTGCCCTTGGGTGCGATGGGCAGGGCGAAGGGCAGACAGAAGGGCTCCATCTGCGAGCACATGCTCTGCTTAATCTCTTTGGCATCCGAGACACAGTCGGTGTTGCCGAAGTCAATGAACTGCAGCACCATCAGCTCAGCGTCGAGTATCTTGGCGCGGTACCAGGACTTGTCCATGGAATACATCGATATGCAGTCGGCTCCATTCACAATCTCCACGAGTTGCGGCAGCGATGGCGACACGATTTGCAGATTCTCTGTTAGACGCTTCAGCTTTGGCACCGCATCCAGTGGATGCACATAGAAATGTGCAGGATTGTCGCAGTGGCTCAGCACAGCTTTTTCCATGTCCTTGTAGGGATCGGGTGTGGGTGTAACTGCCTCAGCAACAGGAGGCGGAGGAGAAACTGCAGGTGGAATTTCTTCGCTGACCGTAGCTGTTGGTGGCGGCGGCGGCGGCTCCACGACATCCACGGGTTCTGGAACAGCGGCTACAACGGGTGCCGGCTCGACAGGCTTCACTTCAGCCTTGGGAGCAGGTGCTGCTGGAGCAGGTGCTGACACTGGAGTTGGCGATGGTGTCTGCTCCACATGTTTGGTACGCTGCTTTGTTTCCTTTGGCTCCTTCGGCTCCTGCTGCGGCTTCTTGGGCTTCGGCGAGCTGTTCGTCGAATTCGATTTGCTCTTGCGCTGCTGCAGCTCTTCGTCATCATCGGTGGTTAGATCGACGCATTCAATGTACTCGTATATGTACGGCTTCTCCTTGTCCAGCTGCTTGCGCATATAATCAATGTCTCTGCCCGCAATTAGTTTCTCTGCCTTCAGAGTGTCCAGGACGCTCTCTTTGCCGTTGGGCAACAAAACGTCAGCAATGAGGTGATTGCGTCGCGTCTCAATGGGCTTCACTGTGACCACCTGCTCCTCCAGCAGCTTGGCCAGCCGCCCTTTGAGCTTCTCATCATTGTTAATGCGGCCAAACGGTAAATTAATCTCAACTGCGAAGCAGCTTTTATTCACATAGAATTTCTCATCCAGCTGCTTGAGCTGCTCACGAGCGAGCTGCTCCGTATTGCCATAGTCAATGTACAGCACATCCAAGCGCGAGCTCTTGGCATCCTTGGCCAAAATGCGTGCTCGATACCAATTGCCGTCGCTGCTAAGGGCAGCACAAATCTGATCCTTTTCGAATTTACGCAGCTGTTTGCCTGCAATGCAACAGTTGAATTACACTCCTTCAATTGATATTCCATAGCTTACCTTTCTTGGCATAGAAGGCATACATATCATCGAGCAGCTGCTTCATGGCTGGCTCAATATCGCTGGGCTGCACGAAAACGCGATACGATTTGGCTGTATAGACGACCAGCGCTTGGAAGCTGTTGACCAAAACTGGATAACCGCAAATGTAAGCGCTGCGCTCCTCCTTGAAGAGCGGCATAACTGGACGCAAGTGTATACTAAATCGTATATAAAATGCAAAAGTTAGTCTTTGATATATATAAATATAGATAGTTGATTCGCCTACATATTGTTCTCACAGACATGCTTGATATTTAGAGCAAACGATTTGCCCTCGTAGTACTCCTTGAAGGGCTTAGCCAAGTCTTTGTTGGACTTGACGAACTTGGTATCATCGTAGCTGCACAAGAAGTTCACATCAATGCAGCTCTCGAGCTGGATCTTAAAGTTTGTCATGTCGCGAATGGAGGTGAACTTGCCGCGCACCTGCTGACCAGCCAGAAGACCAACGCGAACAGCTAAAAGGAATAGATAATGAATTGAGGCTATTTGAAAAGCATTTCATATTAACACTCACATTCCGCCACCTCAGTCAGGAACTGAGCATTGATCAGTGTGTCGCGCAGCGAGGCACCATTCACAAGCATCTTCACTATATAAGTGCTCCAGCTGTTGTTATTGTTGTTCTGATGCTGCTGTTGCGAGGGCTGTTTCGATTTGAATTCACACTCAACTTTAGCATTAGCCGGCACAAATTTCTCCATGCGATCCACAATATACAAGTGATCGTAGTTCGTAACGACCTTATCGAAGCTGCAGCGTTGCGCCAGGCAGGGCACATCGGCAAAGCGCTGCTCCAGCTGCCAGACATCCTCCGAGGTGACGGTCAGCAAGTTGCCAGCGTCCACGCAGAAGATGCGATACTTGCGCAACATGTGGTTGCATGCCACCACTGTGCCTCGCAGTATGGCATTATCTTTACGCTGGCGCACCACCACACTGGAGCCCACCTTCAGCTGGAGCGGTTGATGCGGCTTCTGACGATAGAACTGACGCAACTCGCGCAGAAGACTCTCGTATTTGGTCGCTAGCGACTTTGGCACGACGTAGAATTGGAATGGCGACACCCACCAGGACAGACTAGCTGCCTCCATGCTGGGCGTTTTTATGTCCTGCAGTACGTAGGCCTTATCCAGTGGCACATATTTCTCCGGTTGCGGCTGTGGCTGTGGCTGGGCTTTGGGCGTGGCCGTTGCCGTTGCCTCAGCATTGGAATTGGCATCGCTTTCAACGCCGCTGGAACGCTTCGAGCTGCTCGATGTACCATCGAGCGTAGATTTCTGACGCTGTGGCTTCTGGGCAAATCCTTGCGGAGCGTTCAACGAACGCTGATTGGGAGCGTTGCGCTGAGAATGCTGCAGCAGTTCCTTGCGTGACGAGGGACTGTTGCTAAAGCGACTGCAAACAGAAGCAAGTTAGATATCATTGAATGCAAAGTTGATTCTTCTTTCTTTCACTACTCACGTATTTTTGTTCGCCTCCTGTTTGCCGTTTTGCAGCCGAGGTGAGTCCAGGCGATTACGTCCATTCTGACGATTGGCTTTGCGTGGCGAGCTCATGCCGCTGGTGTAGCTGCTGGTGCTGCGGCTCTCGAAGCTATTGTCGATGCGTACCTCACGATTGCGGCGCACCAAACTGGAGTCCGGGCCATTACGTGCCTGTTGCGACTGACGTTTGCTGTTGCCCTGCGGCGATTGAGTATCCTTGGAGCTGGTCGAGGCCGAGCTGTGCTTATCCCACTCATTAGCATTGGCATTAGCATTACTATTGGTATTGGCATTGCTATTAGCATTGCTATTGGCACTGACATTGGCATTCACATTGGAATTGGCACTCGCAGTTGAATTGTTATTGCTCTTCTTTTGCCTCTGCAGCTGCATGCGATCCTCGCTCTCCACAGTAGTCGAATTGAGCACCTGACCCTTCTCCAGCTGCTGAGGCATTGCATCCGATACTGTTGATTCGGCCCGCGTGATATTCGCATTGAATTGACCCTTCTCCAGCGATAGGTACTGCTCGAAGGGCATGGACAGCTTGTAGAGCTTCTTCATCACATTCAAGTTTTTGGCCATTAGATTCACAACATTGAGACCGTCGGGTTCGATGCGAAACACGCGCACAGTGAACGTGCGACGTCTGATATTCGACTCCTCGGCAAGCATTTCGAATTGATCGGTAATCTTGTCCTGACTCAGCTCACTGTTCTCGAAGCCCTTCAGACAGCACTTGATCGCCTGCCGCGGCATCATCAGATGCTTCTCGGCAATGTTGCCGATCAAATGCCGCTTCACATGCTGCTCGTAGCCAAAGTCCACATGGCGCACAATGATTGTGGTGTCATCTATGCGCAGCAGCTCCGCACGATACCATTCGCGGTCGCATTTAACGACGCACGGGGCACCCAGCACCAGCTGCTCGGGCACCACTTGATTGACATTATAGTAGGCGAACATTTCGTCCATTAGCTTTTCGAACTGCTCAATGTTGTTGACCTTTTGCACATAGAAATTGCTGGGCGAGTCAATGTAACGTATCTCAACAGCGTCGTCGTTCTGCAGCTGCTCCGCCTTGGCGTAGGCCTGACGAGAATTCTTTAGCTTCTTAAGCACCTCCAGCATGCTGTTGTTCTGTGAATATAGTAATCCAAATTAACAGCTGCACCCCAAGTTCAATTGAAGTCACTTACATTATGCATCAGCTGGCAGGTCTGCATGGAGCCCACGCTCTCAGCGGCCTGCACAGTCAATTGGAAATTGATATACAAAGCCGAGTTCTTGAATATACGCTTCATGCTCTCGTCGAGGGCGCCCAACTCTTTGGCGCCAGCGAGAGCAAAGCGAAAGGCGAACGGTTTGATCAGCAGTAGCTCCTGCGGTATCTGATAGAGATCTGTGAGGGCCACCATCTCCGAGTTGCCGTAGTCCACATAGACAACACGGAATCTCTGGCCGTAGACGGCACTGACTAAGGCGCGATAACAATTGCCATCCTCGGAAAAGCGCGCCACGCACGCCGTGCCAACGCCCGGATACTGATTGAGCGGCTGCAGACGCATATGCTCAATCTGGCTCATCATGGCATTCAGATCTCGCGTGGCGCTCTTCAGCTGCACCCAAAACAAATGCGGACCGTTCTCCACAAAGCTCACATAGACATCGTAGGTCAGGCCAACGGTCAGGCTCGTGGTGCGAAAGGCCGGCACAATGGGCTGCAGCTGTTGCTGTTGCTTCTGAGCAGCTGCCTTTGGCTGTTGCGCCAAGGCATAACGTGGTATGGGCACAAAATTCAATGATGGCTGCTGCAGCAAGGGCTGCTGCTGCAGTGCCCGATGCTGCTGCATGGGATTATTGAGGCGCACATTATAATACATATTGAGTGGCCGTGGACTTGTCTTGGGCGTGAAGACACTATGCGTGGTCTCGGAAGTTTGATTGATATTGGCACTGTGTTGATTGTATGGATGATTGGCCGCAGCATAAACGGCCGCCTTCTGAGCATTGACTAGGTGAGCAGCTGTTGACGCCGCCTGGACGGGATTTGCCATGACATTTGTCTGGAAAGCAAAGTGGTATATTCATTATATGGATAATGTATAATTCGTATGTATAATCATATATATACCAAATTGGCTAATGGCGTAGGTATCACCACTTTAGGTGGCAACTGCACCTGGGGCTGCTGTGGCGGCTGCTTGATTGGTGTAAACTCAGTGACTGCTGGTGCGGCTGTTCTCAGCGGCCGCGGCGGCGTTGTGCCCAGCGTGCGATGCACGTCCAGTCGAGCTGCGAGTGAGAAGCGTGCTGCGATCTGTTCACGTGCCACGTCCGTTGGCGTTTTATTGGGATCATTGCCCGTACTCTGTATGCTATTATTGTTGTACTCAACGATGGGCGATTGCGCCTGGGCCTTCCACAGTTTCTTGCAATGATCCATGATCAGCTCCTTGGCAATCGGTGCACCGATTTGCTTCTGCTGCACTAGAAATTCGTTTAGCTCGAAATCTTTCCAGCGTACGCTGGCAAACTTTTGACCACAGATCTGTGTGGGATCCACCTCAATGCTGACCACATGGTTAACCATCAGCTGTTTCACAGTATCCAGTTCAGTTTGGTCCCATTCCGAGCAAATGCCCAGCACAATGTACTGCGAACAGAGCACAGGCACATTTTGCAGCAGCTGCGGCTGTTTCGAGAAGAGCAGCTGAAATAATGATAAACGATATCAGTGCATTGCGATAGCCAAGGTATTTCATTTCATTGCAAATATACTCACATCGTGGCTGCTCACATTTCGCTTGTAGCCATAATCTAGAAACTCAATCTCAACCCGCATTTGACTGCTGCTGCCACTGCTGTTGCCGCTGCTGCTATTGCGATTGCTCAACTGTTTGTCATCGAGCCCAGCACTGAGCACACGCGTTCGCATATATTCCACATCGCCAGGTGCAGCGCCATTTGTTCGCTTGAATACACAAAAGGTGCCAGGTGTGAGCAGGGCCTGTTGGCGTTCATTTGACCAACTTGGGTCTATGGCAAAGCAGGTGGGCAGCAGCGTCTCGATGCGCGTGCTGATCAAAAAGGCGGCATCCCGATTGGCCTGCCCATATAGCTTCAAATAGGGTCCAACGTGATCCAAGTGCGTCACATATAAATCAAGGCTGGATGCGCCACTAGTCACGGGCGTCTTGCCGTTCATTCTAAAAAATGATTATTGCTGCAAAAAAAAATAATAATAATAATTAGTAAAAAAAATACATACATATCAATCATTAAATATGCAGAGCACAATCTTCTTTCGTTTTGTTGCTTTGCTTTGCTATTATCATGCAAAAATTTTGCAAAAATTCAATTTCACTGCAAAGCACACACGCATACCGATATACTCATACATAAATACGAAATATAACAGTTAATAGTCCGTACGACTCTGTCATCTTTTTTCATTGACCCACGTTGACAACTCTGTGGCGAAATGTGTGAGAAATAACTGTAAACATGGAATGTTTCCTGCAAATTATTATGCTTAATATTTGCACAGACCTGTGTATGTGTGTGTTTCAGTCGGCAAATTATCTTTTTTGCCACACATACAGATTGAATCTACGTTCTACTTTTGTCTTATAAGACAACAGAAATAATTAACAAAATTCCAAACTACTTACGTTGTCGTCGTCGTTGTCCAAAGCAAAACTCGGAAAAACACGGCCTCTTGCCTCTGCTCAGCAGCGCCCTCTGTGTGCATCAATATTCACTACAGTCGCCTAGCGGCCAGCCAATTAGTTAATATGTTTGTATGTATGTGTATCGCTCTGATCCGCTTTGCTCTTCTGTATTCCGTATGCTGTATTCTAATTCTTATTTTTTCTCTTATGCTGATGAATTCGGCAGTGTGGCTTACGGGCGAGCTGGCTTTGGCACACTTTTTATTTTCTTTTTCCTTCTGTGTGATATGTGTGTGTGTGCGTGTGTTTTTCCGCAGTGGCTGTTCCACACTGTATGTGTATGTGTGTGTGATGTTACTTCGTGGTTTGTGGTAGAAAGCCTTTCGAGTGATTAGAAATCGTTGTGTTCAGTCTTTTTAGTTATTTTGTTTTGTAGTCCTCCAAAAGAAATGTGCTTGCATTGCAAGCGCAACCGCAATTTGTATATGTTGCAGTCGTCGTAGTTATATCATAAAGCAATTAATCAATGCGAAATAGTATTAAAATTGAAAACTTTTTATGCCCACCCAGTAACACAGCCCGAGACAACGACGACACGACTGTCGATAAGTTGAGAATCGATTGCAGTCACAAATCGCAACAGTGTGACCATATGCTATTTAAAGAAAAAATCTAGCAGTGTGGAGCACATATGTTAGTTTAACAGAAAACAGTTACGCGATAGATGTTATTTAAAATCAAATTTATTTTCATTTATTTATTTAAGCAATAAAACAAATTTGCAATTTATTTAGGTGTGGTATGTATGTACGAATAGCCAAGCCATTTTCAATTTGATTACAGTTTATGTTTACAAACTAACATGATTGTATTTAAATGTTTTTCTTTTTATTATTATATATTTTGCTATTTTTGTTTTTGTTTTTAAATTCTGTTTAATAAGAATTACATATATATAGATATATATATTTACATATATGCATATACAATAATAATAATATTAATAATAATGTATAATTTTTTGTTTTTTTTTTACTTTCAGATCCATTTATAAGGCGCATTCTAAAATTTGTTGTCGCTATATAGCTACATATATGTATATATACATACATATATATATACGTACATATGACATTCGACATATAATTAACTCAACAATTAAATTGCAAAAGTTTAAGCAGGGCAAAGATTATAAAGTATAAATTAAAGATAGCTAAAGGAGACAGATATAGGTGTATATGTATATATACATACACACATGCATATATATATATACATATATAGTACACATGTGAATTGACAAATAAAAACAGACAATGCAACCGCATGACATTTTGAGAGCTATGTGATCTATTACAGATATATGTATATATATTTATATATTGATGGAAAACTCTTTTAATTTTCCTATTTTCGCGTTTATAGTTGTTTTTTTCCATTTCCACTTGGTGTTTTTTCTACTCTTGCGTAACAAACTAATTGCTAAAAAATATATATCCCTTTAATATCTAACCAAAGTCCAGCAGCCCGTGGCATCGTCGCGCCTAAAGTAACGCGGTCGATTGTCCCTGAAGACGGTGACAGCTGGAAATTGATTTTCCTGTATGAACCGTATGGTCGCTCGCACCTGGGGCGCAAAGTGCGGCGGCTCCACGTCTGGGCTGGAGGACAAATGCTGCAGCAGAAATTCATCTGTTTGCGATAGCCACAGATCGGCGCCGCGCAGCGGATCATAATTGAATGGACCAATGCGCAGCATGCCAAGCGTCGAATCATAGATGTCCAGCACCTGGCGGCAGGTAGAGATTAATAAATTAATATAATTATTCATGAAAGTTGTCTGTCATCAATTGATGGCAATCGTTCCTGTTGCCCTACCGTTTGTGAGCCCATAAAGATGCGTGCATCGCGCAGCTGTCGATCGGGTCCTCGATCCGGAAAGGATGCTGGAAAGATTTCGCCAGTCTTAATATTGACGCCAACGCCATAAATAATCGGGCAATTGATCTCGCCACGTAGCATTGTATTCAGCTCGCCCACGCAGGCCTGCGTCAAGTCAATTTCAAGATGATGCTTGTGGAATGATTCTAAAGACGAAGGAGACGGGCAGAGAGGAGAGAAGTTGAGTTGGCAATACTTGTGACTGAAGTGCTAATTACTCACGCATAATGCTATAGAAGACATCCTCGCCATAGCCCTGCGAGTCCCGATAGCCGCCAATTAGCTGCAATTCGATGCGTCCCTCGGGATAGCCAAGTGCCAGCTCCTGGACACGTGATACCATGGTGCAGACAGCTTCATCCACGCCGCTGCCATCGAAATGCGCCAAGGCAACAGCACCAGAGCCTGGCGGGAGAGTGGTAGAGAAAGCGAGGGTAGTTTAGTTAGTTATACATTTCAATTTCAGCTGCGACTCACCTGAATGCCGCACAACAACAATAATACAGGTGGTGGCATCATCGGCCCCAATGATGTTAATATTCTTGTCATGGGGCGCCGCTGCGGCCATCTCCCGCTGGCCCACATAGAGCAGGCCCACCGGGCCAACGGACTTGGCCTGTATGGAGTGCAGCTGCTGGGCATAATCTCTGTAGACGGGATGCTGCAGGAACAGGCTGTTCGTGTCCATGGGGCAGTCATCCTGCAGCACACCATTCAGCACTAGCACCATTGCTCTTGCTATCCAACGTCTCTGCTCCGCTCTAGTCTCAGTTATTAACGCCTCCGAAGAGCTTCAATTTCAATTACGCCGAGTTCTCTTGGCCCCTTAAGACGAGTAGCAGTAGCCAGCTGTAAGAGAAGAGCATGGAATTGGCCATTATTTGACTTGCAACACAATCTTCTTCCTCTTCCATGCAGATTTTATTTTCATTTTTTCCTGCGCTCTTCGCTCTCTGTGCCACAGACAACAAGAAGCATAAAAATCAATTTACGATGCGAGCTCGCCACGAAGATGGCAGCCAAAAGATTTGCATGCTTGATAATAATTTTTGAAGGCAGTGAAAATCCACTGGCAGGAATTTTTAGCCAAGGTTGGGTGTCGTTTGAATACCCTAACAAATGTTAATGGGGCATATGAATTATAAATAAATGTGGAGTGGATTGTGGATGTGTGAGCAAGTTGGGATATATTCTTGAAACCTCTTCTAAAGCATAAAAGTTTGCATATGCATATCAGATAAAAGTTTTGAAAATTCCAGTATGTTCATTTTGATAATTTTAAATTATATACCCACAGATATATTTTGAAAATTTCAGAAAAAAATATTAATATATAATATATATAACCTCCATATAGTATGGCAGCTATACTTCGAAATTAGTGTTACGATATATGTTTTAAGTGCTATAAAATAAGCTAGCTGCGCAGCTCTAAATATAGCTAAACAACAACGCGATTATTTAGTAGAGCTTACTTTATATATTTATACACAATTCGATTATATCCATCTTTTTTATCAACTCTCAGTAGCTGCGTTACAAGCTGCCTACAAAAATGATCATACTCTCTCGCTCTCGCTCTCTCACTCTCCCCAGCTCCTACCTCTTCTATCTCCCTAAGCACATACAATAAATGTAAAAATATGGGTAGCCGTATGCAAGCTGCAGGGCGTTTTCTTTGCCTCACGGAGAGCTGCCAATTCGTTCTCAATGCACTACCTACACCTGGTCCCCACACTCCACACACTCCCCTCTGGCCCCCTCCCAGGAGTCAGGCTCGTAAATTTTCGGCTGGCCCTTGCAATGCTAAATAAAAATGTCATAGCTGTTGCCGCAGGCGATATTATATATTAAGCTCGTTTATTCAGTTTCTCTCGCTGATATACAACATATATATTCTTTATAAACGAAATTGGTTCCGTTTGTCTGTCCAGAGTGTGGAAGCGAGAGAGGGGAGCGGCTGCCTGTGGTGGCTTGTAAATCTAATAATGAAAAGAAACAACAACAATTTTTGAGGCCACACTTTGGGTCAACAATTAGTTCGAGTCGCACACACACATGAAGAAAGCCGTTGCATGTGGCACAGCTCTCGGCTGGCGTCAATTGATGCCAACACCAAAAGTCACAAATGTCACACAAAAGTTAATAACAATTAAGTGACTCTACTGAGCTGAGCAACCACAATAACAACAACAACAGTAACAACAGCAATGAGACCAATGAGAGCAACAACAAATTAACGATCCGATTGACGTTCTATAATTTAATTAAAATGTCATTTACAAACACTTGGCAAATAGACGTAGATGTGGAGGGGAAGAGAGAGGGGAAGGTGTGAATGAGAGAGGAACAGAGAGAGAGGGAGGCGGAGGCGGAGAGAGTGATAGGGTGAGAGTGAGATTGAGATGGAGAGAGAGAGAGAGAGAGAGAGAGAGAGAGAGAGAGAGAGGGAGAGAGTGAGACAGATAGAGAGAGTTAGAAAGATAGAGAGAGAGAGTGAGATACATAGAGAGAAAGGAATAGATCTTGCAAACACACAACGTTTCAAGTCTCTCGCTTCAACACCGATACGAAGGGATGAACGGAGAGACAAAGAGAAGGTCGGATAGAGAGTCGGACGTAGTGACAGACAGACGCCTGGACGGACTGCATACGGATGATAAATCCACTAAAAATGAGTATGAGATGGAATACCCAGACAATGAGACAGATTATGTAGAAGTCCTAGACCTTAAGAGAACTATAGAACAGAAGAAACTAATAATAATAGTAATAATAATTATAAATATTCATAAACACAAGCTTTTAACCATATAAACATAAACATAAACATAAACTTAACTATGCGTGTATATAGTCTGTATAGCTGTCTCTCTATATGTCTCTCTGTCCGTCTGCCCAACTACAGAAGATCAGCTAAGTATTCATTTCGTATTTATATTTAAGTAAAACGAAGCTAGCTGAGAGTGTTCTCATTGGTCACTTGAGGCTCGGCTGCAACGACCTCTACCTGGCGCCGAGCTCAAAATTTGAGAGCAACTTAGTGATTGAGTAAGAGTCGCCCTATATAAAGGGCAGCAGCTGTAGCATTTCTTCAGTCGCCTAGGCCTGGTGGGGGTCAGTCGTGCGGTGCAGTAAAGGCAAGTGACGTGTGGTCAGGAAATTTCTGGAGGAAAGGAGGAAGACATACTTGAAGGTAAAACGTAGGGGAAAGACTTGGAGGAAAACACCCTGTGCCCGCTTAACAATTGTGCCCAAGCGCAAGTTGCAATACAAATAAGAAGTCAAATAGTTGGCAATTGACTCGGCTCGACTCGACTCGACACGGACTCAAGATTCGGACTTGGACTCGCGCTCGGACTCGAACGCGTCAACAGCGAATCGCGCACTTTGCGTAATTGAGTTACATATGTTTATTTATTTTACCTACACAGTCAACCAGACGTTGACTAGTTTCAATTAAGCAAATAATATGAGATGAGCTAAAGTTCAAGTGCAAACAGAGAAAAAGCTGAGAGACTGAAAAACAAGCCAAGGCATCATCGTCTCTGATTCATATTTGAGCTGCATTTACAAACAATTGTAGAAAACTAATTCCACGAGCCGCAGAGCAAACAACAATAACTGGACCGAGGGGCCCCAGAAATCGGCCAACAATAACAACACTATTAAAAGTAGCCAATGGAAAACAAAATAAAACAAAAATGCCCAAAGCCAACAGAAATGAAGAATGTTGCAGCTGAGCGTGGGCGACTGCATCATACTCGCTCGAGGAGGGGCATAAAAGGGAGCAGATCAACAGTGAATCAGCTGCAGAATTCTATGATTCCAGCTTTAGATAATATAAGACTTAGATAATATTTATATAGCTAGTAATATGTAGTTATAGAATTTCTCATTTAAGATCGATGATAAGGGAATGTCAATAATCTTAAAATTTTAGGGTAGAACTTGAACTATGAATGATAGAGTCTTCTTTCCAAGAGGACAGACTTTATCTTCATTTCTTCTATAACTTAGATCAATAGTAACTTCTTCTACAATTTCTAGCTGATTCTAGCTTTAAAACTTTACATCAAGCTGTAACCAAAATAACATCCACTGCATATACAACTAATACACTCCTCTCGATTGTTAGGCAAGCATCTCAGCCCAGCAACAAAAATTCAAGTGAGCCAAGCAAAAGGCAGTGTCTCGACTTTTTGGGGGCATGTTGCAGCGTTGCAGCCTGTTGCACGTTCCTTGCCTTGGCTCTGCCTGTTGCATTATGCATTGTTGTTGCCTGTTCCTCTGTTGTTGCTGCTGTTGTTGTTGTTGTAGCCTGGAAGCAATTTAGCCGCGATCATGCATGAATCTTGATTAGATATTCAACGAGAAATAATTTGAAAATGATGACAGTTCGCGATAGGCGAGCGAAAGAAAAGGAAGGACGGCTTGAGATCAGTCGAGAGCGGAGCCTTAGACACATATACACTATATACTCTATATAGCTGGAGGGAGATTTTTAATAACTCACTGAGACAGTGGGTGGAGCATGCCTTGCCTCATGACAATTGAAGCTGAAGCTTTACAGCAATTCATACTCCTCTAAATTCATAATATACGTTTATGGAATACCCCTACTGTTAACACAATTGCAGCTGGAACTACTACTAATATAAATGCAGACTAAACCTTGAGACTATATATCCTCTAAGTACAAGAAAATAAGGAATATCCCCATTCAATTCACAATAACTCCCATGTTGTCATTAGCTAAAAATCTCTACTTTGGAATACCCCTAATCACGCTCTACATACAATTCCATAATATACAAGTACCTATAGCTATAGGTAAACTTTAAAATATACCCGCTAATCCAGCACGGACTCAGCCTACTTTCATGACAATTGCAGTTGGATAAGCCATCAAATACTTAAGGCCAAAATCAGCTGGGCTATTGGCCAAAAACGGTTTCCACTGGACGGGCGGTCGTTTGGCTCATTCGCTTCGATCGCTTGGCAGTCAATTCGTGCCACAAGCTTTCAACTCAACAGATTCCACTCATTTGATATCGCTAGGTGGCCAGAGAGTCGCTAACCAAATGAGAGATGCGCCCAATTGCGACTCGACATCACGGCCAAGCAGCCCAAAGCGTTATTAAATGAAATTCACGAAAAACTTTTGCTTGCGGCATAGAATACATTTTCAAGTAAAGCAGCAGCAGGTTGAATAGTTCATAAAATATATACGAATATTATCCGATTTCAGTTAATTAACATATCAGCCCTATATATTTTAATTTTGGATCATTCAATTACTTTCCATATATCTTCTACCCTTGTCTTCCATTAACTATATTTCCAGCTCCCCATGCCTAACAATGTTCCTCCTCCTCCAAGTTCAGCTCGGAATCACAGTCAAGTGACTGCGATGCCTGTCAACGCTTTGGCTCAGTGCTAAGCAAAAATAAATCAAGTGAAGAGCCGAACTCAGCCACACAGACAACAGACAGACAAACAGACAGACAGACAGACAATGGCCCACATTGAGTTGAGTTCTGAGAAGCTAAAGTAAAATGGGAGATACCAAGAGGAGTATCTAAGCCGAAATTCAACTGAAGCTGAATGCACAAATGATCGATGGCAGCCAATGGACAACGTGCTGCAGTTACAACAACAACAAACAAACAGTAACAACAACAAACAACAACAACAACAATAGCAATATGAAAAGATCATAAGCATCAGAAACGTTTCAATTCATTACGCGTGCGACGAGTCTATTACCACGGCTGCGGACCTGGGGACCTGGGGATCTGGTCTGATTGACTGGTCGGTGCAGTTCGTCCGTCCATCAGTCCGTCACT